GCCTTACAATGTAATTTACACTATCTGTACCTGCGCTGTCAAATAACACACAAGTATCCTGGATTAGGGTACGGACAGTGTTTGAGTTTGATAGATATACCGTTTGACTGAAGATTGGACTAATTAGATATTCATCTACATAAATGCAGCACAGTGGATGGCAGCAGAACAAAAGTCGACACGAGCTGAGTTGGATGAATAGGCAGCATGCCGTCGGCCCCGTTATATCAGTGCACTTCATGCAGACACACTTATCATTTACCATAAAAGTATGACTGTGGGTACAGTAAGACAAGGTGCATTCAAAGTTCACCCTGATGAAAAACATTGCACCCTCCGGCCAGCCTCGCCATCAAGTCACATTCAGTTATCAGCCGTCCTTCCTTCCATCATGCGCAGGTCAAACTGCATTTTATTGTTTAAAATGCTAATGTCAACCACAGCGAATACCACACTGAACGCGGAGCCGTGCGGCTCAATGTAAATTAAATGACCCGTCCTTTGAGTGCACTGGCTTATGTAAGCTGCTTGTCCCCCCCCCCCCCCCCCAGCTCTCCATCCCTGCCTTTCTTACCCTTCAGCAGCCTTATCCATCCCCTGAAAACCCTAACGTCTCGTAAACACACAGCCCCATCCTACACTGGAGAGAGCAGGGGGTGGTGAGGAGGGGGGGGAGCCTGACTCCCGCATCCCTCATTTTCTCTGCCACCTTGAAAACAACACCCCAATTCTGGTTGTGGTTCTCCATTCCATCATTGTTTGTGCACATCACATGCAGCACTGTGACAATGCTCTTCATCCACACAAATCCCCTGCTGCACAACACAGACTGATGGCCTTTTATTAATCCTTCAATATATATGTATCTAGACAACAAAACATAAAAATCCTGCTCCTCTTTTTGTTCCTGCATCTTCTTTCTCTCTGTCTCTCTTTCATTCTCTCAGTGTCCCTCCATCTATCCCTCCCCTCCCCTTCTCCCTCCACCTTGCCCTCATCTCTGAGTCCTGCAGCCACAAGCGCTCCACGGCGAGGTTTCGCAGTGGCTTCTTGACAATGTCACAACACCGTTTTTAAGACAATCCTGCCTCGTTGGAGGGTGCACAATGGAGAGAGACAGGAGAGATGATGGGGGGTTTAGTGTGGGGGGGGGGGGGGGAGGACACCAGGGAGGGGGAGGCCGGGGATGAAATGCGACAAAGGTTGCGAGCTGGATTCCAATCTACAATGTCGCGTGTAAATGGCATAAACAGGGCTCCCTGGGTAAAAACGCATTTTTAAAGAGCTGACAACGACACAGTGGGTAGAGAGGCAGAGGGAGGACAAACTGGATGGTGATATGATAATGCCAAGCCATTATTTCATATCCTCTATCGCTCTCATACATTGTCTCTGGTTGGATTGTGTGAGCATAAGAGCATAAGCATGCCTATACAGAGGTATGTGGCACGCACGGTGTGCGGATCCATCCATCTGAATTCATTATCGTCAGAAAGAGGACACGGGGAGGCTGGAATTTGAATTCTCCGTGATCTCAATACAGAAAAGAAAAGGCTTACCTCCACATTTCAGCTCTGCTCGACCCTGCCTTGTTTCATTCTGTTCCTCTCTGCCGACTCCCTCCCCTTCTCTCCCCATGACAGCATTTTTCTGCTATCTATCTCCACGGTGAGGCTCTTTCTCCTCCTCCTTCAGTTCCTCCTGTCTGCCGTTCTCTTCCTCTCTCCAAAAATAAGACGCGACACACACACACACACACACACACACACACACACACACACACACAGACACACACAGACTTCCCGATCTCTGTGTCTACCGGCTCTTCTATTCTGTTGGTTAAGTCAAGAGGCAGGTTGATTTGTGCTGTCCTCCTCCCTCTCTCCCTGATTCTATTCCATTCACATCGCACTAAAGCCAACCCCCTCTTTCTCCTCTCTCTCTTTCTCTCTCTCTCTCTCTCACACACACTGCTTCACCCGGCCTCTCTCTCCTCCCCCCTCCCCGTCTCCTTGTCAGAGCGAGGTGAGGCAGCGACGGACATCAGCGGCCAAGAGGAGAGCTCTCTGTGTCTTAAACTGACCATTCAAAATGCTTCAGTGGCAAGAAGGAAATTTAAAAATGTGCTGAATCGAGGACTCAAGATTTCCCATAAAATAACATGACCCGCAAAAGCAGAAGTGTGAAAGAAAAGATGATGATGCAACGTTGTTTTAAGATAGTCACCTCTCACAGTCTTTCTTTTACTATTAATGGAAACAGGCACTTGCAATATCAAACGTGTTCATTTAGTCGTATTTGTCTTTGCCAAAACCGACATTTCTGCACGAGCGAGATAAAGGCTCACAAGCACTGAGGGGCAAAGGTGAACATGGCAGTGTGTGTGTGTGTGACAGTTTGTTTATTTGTAGAGACATCTGCGTACTCCCCAACGTGTGGGTCGAGACCAAAACAAACAATCAACCTGCTTAACAATGAGAGCACAGGAGTGTGACAACATAGCTCGCCTTTTCCTTTCCCATCAGCCACTGCCTCTTAAACAGCACATACCTGAGAATCTGGGTAAACCACTTAATGGTGGTCAGGAGAGGAGAGGAGTCGTGCTGCTTAACTTACACTGCAGCAGAGACAAGTGTCCGGCACCATCCCCCTAATTAGTGCATGGAGTCCCGTCCTGGCCGTACCATATGGCTGTGTGTGTTAGCAGGTCAATGGCTCTGGTCTGGGGAGCGGGGGAGGAGGAGATGTTGTTGGTGGTGTGTGCCTTGAAGAGATAAGAGAATTAACAGAGGCACTAGTTGATAGTAGATAAACAGTTCTCTTAAAAGCAAGCATACCTCGGTGTGTGTGTGCGTGTTCATCAGCGGTGACTAATGAGGTGTTATTGGAGTTTGTCGCCTCCTCTGGTGTTCAGCGTTGTTTTAATCTGAAAAAAATAAGCCAATAAAACACAATTCATCGCCTCATATACAAGTGAGTTAGAAAGTTCATACACTCAAACCAATTGAAATGTCACATAACATTTCCAAGTGACAACACAGAGTTCATGGCTATCTTACACACATGAACAAAAAATGAAAACGTAAATATTCTGACTGGTTTAAGACTGTCTAAGATTAAGTCCCGTTCTGATACCATTGATACAATCAACACTTGACCAACTGGTATTTATAATAGTGTGATTATAAGCATGATTTGTGATGGTCGGAGCCTCTCAAACTGACACCAGAGCTCATTTTGGACCGTCAGTGCAACAGAGACACCGTGTGGAAATGTTCCACCAAGACCGCAAAGACGCAAACGCTTAAAGTTCTTCTCTGCCGAGAAACACATCTGTCTTTCTGAAGTTGCGTATCTTTTTATGACACATTACATTTTATGGGACATCACATGCTGGAAACATGTGGTTTCAAACAATGGCATAAAATTGGCTATACTGAGCCGTCAGCACAGTGAAAACAAAGACTCATTCTTAAACTTCTGTCCGACTGTCCAGAACTAAAATATATTCAGTATATAATATTATAAACAGCAAAGAAGGTAAAAACCACCAAATATTTGGATTTGTTGCTCTAAAAATAGTTTAATTTCTTGTTGCTCCAATAGATGAATCGACTAATCTTTTCAGCTCTGGTGTATATATATATTCTTGTGAGTAAAAATACCAGAAGCCAGATACAGTATATATTTATAAGAATACTTGGATCCCAGAGGTCCAGATAACACACAATCTACCACCAGCCAGGAATCAAGATGAGGAAATGTACTAAACGTCAGAAAGCTGCCCAAATGAGTAATGTGGTGAGGATATTAGATTAGTGTGACATTCTTCTCGGCCCTCGTGGGGGCTGGTGTGGCTCTGCCAGGTGCAGAAAGAAAATGGTGTGATGTGATGTTGGGAGAGGTTTCACCAGAGCTGAGAGGCGGATGATTCAACCCGACTTGCTAAAGTTAAAGTGGCGCCAAGCACTTCAAACTAGTAAAGAACGCCCCTGCAGACCCAATAGATTTATACGCCCCTGCAGAGGAAGTTAATGAAGGTTTCACACCGTTAACCGTTTGCCGACCTGGTTCTGTCCAGCTGCAAAGCTGTGGGTCAGCAGCAGCAATGAACTAGAAGGAACGTTGCATTAACTTGCAGTGCTGAGAGAAGATCATATTTAAAGAGTTATGAATCTTACCTGTAGCTTGGATCATCAAGTCTGATCCACTGCGGGTGTCCGTGTTGTTCAACTTTCCTCAGCCCCTCAGCAGCTGTAATAGTTACAATAGTGAGGTTACACTATTGCATTTTCTTTTCAACAAACACCCCTCTTGCTTGATTTTAGCTTGTGGTTTGAACTTTGTTAATGCAATTTGGCACCAACAGGGAAGGAAAACCACAATGCCGCCCCCTGGTGGCCATTAAACAGACTTGCAGTAAGAAGAGAACCCGGACCGTTTTCATGAGAGGTCTCCACACTGCATTGATTTCATCTCTCACATTACGACCAGACCCAAGTTATATTCTACATGGCTCTGCGTGGATAGTATTCATTTTACTGTTTTGATTTTCACGTCAGGGATCTCTACACTGATGTTGGTGACATCCATCAAACATTGGGTTCATTTCTCACCTGTAGTTGAAGCTGGTTCTCAGGGCTCTCTGCCATTAAAGATAATGCAAAACGAATGGGGGGGGGGGGGGGGGGGGGACCAAACACAAAAGTTTTATTTTTTTTTTTTTTTTTA